TGGAGACATATCTGCCTCCAGCCCTTACATACATCTGCGGGAATACTACTTTTCTGAAGAAGCATCCAATATATTTGAACAGAAGAACGCTTCTAACTACTAAACAAGGAAACGTGTCTCTGGAGGTATATTTTAGTTGACGTTCTGTCCCTCTTTGTTTTACATTTTGAGTCAGTCCATTTGAAGCAGAGCCTGTTGTGAGCCTGTTTACTTCCATTTATTTTTCTTGACGTAGCACAGAGAGGAGGAAAATGGCATTTCAGCCTTTTTGAGGGGCTATTTATGCTAAGTTTCCTATCTGAGACAGTAAGTGCTGCAACTATTCTTTACAACCGTGTTTTTCCATTCTTTTACATATGGAATCCCAAGAAGAGCTGATGAAAGCTATGGCTCTTATTTCCTAGAAAAAAAAAATGGATATAAAATGTTGAAAACAATTTTTGCAGTATCACTTTTTCCTTGAAGTCCATCCAAGAAGAGCCCCGGTCCCTGGGCAGGAGGTTGAGAGTCCCTGCTCTATAAAGACTGATTTTCTAACTGCTGTCTTTATGTCTTTGATTTATGCTTCTCTTCTCCAAATCAAGTCAAGACACTGCACTTCAGTAACCGATATGATGAAAAACTCAGCACGTGAGAGAAGACAAGAGATACCATAGGCTTGTGCTTTGCCAACTTAAATCTGAGTCTGATATTTTGCCAAGGCCAAGTCTTACACCTCGCATTTAGAGTGTGGTTACACAGGTGATTCCAAAGAACATGGGAGTGGGCTGTCAGCAATCACGGGCCCAGACCACTCAAGGGTGGGCCTTTATACTTGCAGTTTCCTCGGCCAAAAACACTGTTCCCCAGCATGGCTGCTTCAACTGGTCTCAGTTCACATATCACCCACACAGAAGAGGGTCTATTCCTAACAATCTATCTTAAGTAACTCCCTCACCAACAAAACTCCAGCACATTACCCTGTTCAGTTTTCAAAGTGCTTACCATCACCTGAAATTATTTTCTATTGCTGTTTTTTTTTCTTGTTAAACGTATGTATCCATAACCAGAATATAAGTTACAAAGGAGAAGAAATTTTTGTCTGCAACACTCTCCACTATATCCCTAGCATTTAGAAGAGCAAATGGAACCCAGTAGGCAATCACAAAATATTCTGAATGAATATTGGTTATCCTATCATCATTTTGAATGAGTGAATGTGATAGTTCCAAACTGAGGGTCAGAGGTATTTTCATTACAGATTTTTAAACCTATACTTTAATATAAGTTTGTAGCTTATTATGGATATTTGAAGAGCTGTGTGCCAAACCTAACAAGGCTCCTGAATGTTTCTAAATGTGCAATTGTCGCTATATTTCTGCTGTCATTTTTCACAGGTTTCCAAATGCGTCATAAAATATTATTGGGTCAGGGACCATGCAGGCCACCAGATGGTTGAGAATGATTTATTTCCTTGATTTCAGACTACTGAAGAATGATTGCAGGAAGAAAGCCAGTTTTTATCTCTGAGCTTACAGAATATGAAAGATAAGAGAGACCTTGTGGTTCATCTAGTCTGGATTCATTCTTAATTTAAAAAACCATTCTACACTACCAATGACATGGTTATCTGACCTTGACTCCAATATTTTTAGTGATGAGACACTCGTTATTTTACAAGATAACCTGTCTCACAATTGGACGGATTTTGATGAGCAAGGTCTTCCTTCTATTGATTCAAAATTTCCTTCCTGTAACTTCTGGCCCTTGGAGCAACAATGTGTAAGTCTAGTTCCTGTTCTGAATTATGAACTTTGAAATATTTGAAGACATCTCAACTATCTCCCTTCAGTGCTCTCAACTTCTGAATAAACATCCCAAATACCTCCAGCTGTTCCTCACTTATTTCTCCCTTTAGAACCCTCATCTTCCTACTGAACGATCTCTGGACACACTGTAATTAGCAAACATATGTTCTCCAGGGCAAAGTGGAATTATGTCTTATTTTTAATTATAGATTTAATTGTACTTATGCCATAAAACTACTATATGATCCTCTTTTGTAAGTCAACTATGCATATAATTGCATACTATATCATTACCAATATCAGTATATGTTATTAGTTGTAAAATGCAAAAGCAGGTTACTCTGATATAATAAGCCCCCATCTTAGCTGGAAGTCTGTGTCTAAAGAACATCTCACGGCTGACAATGCCAGCTTACTATTAAAATTCTTTAGATAAACATATGAGAAATTTTCAAAATAATCTGGGCTATCAACTTGCACATGCACAATAGTATGGCTTGTTTCAATTTCAAAATTCATGGAGCAAGCAATTATAGATAGCCTGAAAGTAAAGCATCCCATTATAAAGTAGTATTATTAGTAAAAACAATCTAAGACAAACTAGTAAAGATGAATTGTATTTTTACAACAATAAAATTATATTAAATGTTTAATGAAGGACAGTCTTCAGCTAAATAAAGTAAAACTGAAGAGAATTAGTCCATATTCAGACTTTATGGGAAGATCTGGTAAGTTGATCTCATGATCAATAGTAGTTATAATCATAGCATCAGTATTAATCCCTAAAGCAGATACAAATTATATCATAATGTTGTGGCCCAATAATTGTCCATATTGACTTACTACTGGTAAAAACTAGCAGATGGACAATTCACACTAGGAAATTTAGTAGGTTTCAATTTACACATCTATACTTCTACCTGTACTGTTCTTTTAATGTCTAATAGTGAGTTATAGTACATTTGAATATCCATAATATATTTCTATATAATACTACCTCAGAAATATTAGTACTGTTTTCTGTTTTATGGAATAAGCAGGAGTTTGCTGCATTTATTAGTTGATGATTGCTACTACAAACACTAGCCAATATTTAGCTTTCACACAAAACAAAAGAACTAGGTTCAGTGCCATAATCACTGAAGAACCTACAGACACTAACCCAACAACTTTCTGTTCAATAAACTATATCTCGTGTATTCATTTTCATTCAAAGCCAAATGTTTCTAAACAAAGTATGTATAAAACAGTAACATCCAAACACAATGCTTCCCAGCAGTGTGAGTATGACAAAAAGTATTCTGATCATCTTTTAAAATAAAAAGCCTGAATTATTCAATTGTTTCCATAATCCTTGTGATCGGTTGCATTATGTCCTCCCAAAATTCATATGTTAAAGAGCTTAGTACCTCAGAATGTGATCTTATTGGAACGTAGGATTGTTGCAGATGTAACTAAGATGAGGTCTGACTGGAGGAAAGTGGGCCCCTCGTCCAATATGACTGTTGTTCTTATAAAAAGGGAAAATTGGGAGACACACACATAAGGAGAATACTATGTGAAGATGAAACAGATCAGGGTGATGCTTCTAAAAGACGAGGAACCGGGAAAATTGTCAGCACACCACCAGAAGCTAGGAGAGAAGCATCAACCCTGCTGACACCTTAATCTTGGAGTTAGCCTCCAGAACCCTGAGACAATAAATTTACGTTGTCGGAGCCACTCAGTTTGTGGGACTTTGTTATGGCAGCTCTAGGAAATTATAACAGTTTTTAAACTCCTAAAAAATACTTGGCACTCTCCTTTGGGGCATGCCTTCAGAGTCCAAAGCACTTTATTTTGGATATCCTTAAATGGTGACATATTCTTGTCCTCTGAGATATGAGTAACAGCCCAGAGTTACTCATATCTAGGACATGAATATAATGGATCACTTGTGTAGGTGGTACAGCATTCTTTTAATTAATTACAACATCCAAATTAATTAATTTACAATATAAATTGACTGCCCATCTCAACAACTGCTTTGGCAGACAGTCTAAGAGATGCTTTGAATGGTAGCATTCCTAGGGAAAAAAAGTATAGCCTCCTAAGATAACTACCTTGAAATATATCAAAATGCATGTATTATAAATCCTGATGTAGTTTGTGTTCATTCTTTATAGCCCTACTATATATACATGCTTTATATTATGAATAGTGTGAGCAGCACCTTGTGATACCAGGTACTTGACTAAAGATGTATCTGGGGAATGATCCCAACCCCTTAGCCTAAGCAGTTTCCCTTCTATCTGATTCACATTTTGCATTTCCATTCCAGATAAATACTGCCTAACAAAACTTTCTGTGATGAAGGAAATGTCTTATATCTGCATTGTCCAGGACAGGGGCCACTAGTCACAAGCGGCATTTGAGCACTTGAGATGTAGCTCGTGCAACAGAGGAATAGACATTTAATTTTCATTACTTTTAATTCAAATGGTCACATGTAGCTATTTGGCTATCGTACAGGACAGCGCAGTGTTAGATTTTAATTTGAAAATAGAATGTTACTGCTAACAAAGTTTGAAAATCACCAGTAAAAATGAATGAATAGGAAAACTTCTCCTAAAATGGAGTAACTGATTATTCTGATCATTTATCCCAGAAAACACAAGTATGTACATTTCTTGGGCACATGAGGATTGACTTTACTGCCAGTGAGCATAAAACTTAAATCAGTGAACTAAAACTGGCATCACTAATCATTAGCCAGCAGGGGGAGCTGAAGAGTAGCACGGTAGCATTTTCTTTGGAGAGGTTCTTTTTTCCCTTCTATGTGTTGGTGATCTATGTGGAGGCTCTTAAAATACGTATTCTGTCCAGGAACTCCAAACCCTGCATTTCTTGCATATCCAGTGTGAGCTACATACTCTGCCTGTGTCTGTTTCAAAGGATCCCCAAGCAGTCAGAACTTGATTCAAAACAAAACAGTTCAAAATCCAATTAATTACAAAACGTGGTCTTTCCCACTTCCCTTTGTTAAAATGTGATTAGTGTTTAGATTTTTATATTTTTTTAAAGCTTTCTTCTTCTTCTCCCCATATCAGAGAAAATGTTAAGGCCTTTTATATTTAGACAGAGAAGGAAAATTTCATTGGCATATTGTTGATTCTTTAAAGTTATTCCTAAGAAAACATTTATCCATAATAAATTAACCATATATGGCCTTACCTCTTGATAAAGGTCACTGAGATCTTCCTGGTGGGCCTGTTTGGAACATCCTGGGAATTCTCTAACACAGCAGGAATCTGGGGGCCAGTCCATCTCTGTCATTTCCAACCAGTCAGTGAAATATACCACTCCACAGCACTTAAACTGCAAAAAAAAAAAAAAAAAAAAATCACTAGTCAGCCTCAGAAACCACAAAACTATTTTCTTAACTTATAGGAGATTAGACATCTGTTTTTTTAAATTTTTGTACCCAGAGCTACATCTGTCATCACCTAATGATATGTGTACAGTCTGTGTTGATGATAGAAATGTAGTAAAGGAACACCATGGCTAACCATTGCATAATGGAAGAATTCTGAGTAATAATGCCCGTAACACATCAAAACAAATCAGGCATGACTGAGACTCACTCCCTAGCTGTAAGCTTGTCTACAAGGGACTATACATAGCAACAGAATGAACATACACACTAACAAACCCAAGTAGGTGACACCTTATCTTTATCATTAAACCTCTAACCACCAAGGGCCAGTTAATCAAATTTTTCTATTGCTCAACATATTCAAATATTATATTAAAAGTTTCTGTAATCTTTGTAAAAACATGTGCCGACCAAAGCCCACATCACAAAAAGTTAGCAGACATCGATTCCTCAGCTAGTAAAATATCCAAAAACTTTAAGAAATAAACATAGGTCTGGCCAATTAGTGTTTATTCAACTAAGGTTCTTGAAATAAATGTTCATATTCTATTACCACAATCTCAGAAGAAATGGTGTGCCTTTAGCTTGAATAAAATTGGAGTTAAGAAAAACTATATTGACATTTTTTCTTTTTTATCTCATTTCCCCAAAGATTAGCAAAAGCTTTCTCTGATCAAGGTTTGAAAGCACTGCTTAAGGACCTCTATAGATTAGATTCAGAACAATTATCTATGATGAATAATTTTCTGTCCTTGAGTAGAGAGGGAGGTTGCTCTTTCCCCTCTAGCCAGAAACAAGGACTATGGACAGTCACCGAGAACTCTGCCGAGTGACTGGCTATGCAAATCATGCAGTCCAACAGATCAATCTATGTTCAGGTTTCACATTGTATCACAAAATATCACAATCCCCCACCATTTCAAAATTTAACTAAAATTAATTTTGAAGAATTCTGGACTTCTCATGCAAAAGGAAACAACAAAAATACCACAAAGTATTCTGTGTTGTTACACTGGTCTAAATGTCTGATTTTTAAACAGAAACAAAATCACCTTAAGAGGATTATAAATGATGAATTACTGAACAGTATGGGTAATACGAAAATTTTGAGAAACTTAAAAAATACTTTCCATATATTTTTCTTCTTTAAACTTGCTCTCAAAGTCATGAGTATACTGTCAACATCACAAATTTAGTCAATAATTTGACATTACATATTTCATACAATACATTAAATATCCTTAAATAATATATGTAGTATAAAGACTTCACTTCATAAAAATCATAAACAAGGAAACGTTAACCTTCCATGTCCATCTTTTTAAATCCTTACACTCAGAGAAAATTCATTTCTCTCCTTTGCTAATGACATGAGTCCTTTCTGTGTTGATGACAGAACAGTTCTTGGAACTCTCTAACTCCATCCAGCAAGGAACAGCCTATTTATATGGCTGTGTCAGGGAATGAAATATTCTACATAAATGACTTTCTCAAATATAAGTATATAATGTTCTTTCTTATTATAAGTATATAATGTTCAGTGATGAACTTATTTTTATTTTAGTAAGTATTTGTATAGAATTGCCCGTCTTCAACAGAAGATACTGAATTTATTCTGAAACTTTTTCTGAGAACTCCTTTAAGTAAGCCCAACATCATACCAAGATATTACTGTAGTCTACATCTCCTTGTCATTTTCCTGTCTCCTTTAATATTGTATTGTGAGATAGTACCACTCTTGCTAATGTGTCAAGCTCTAGAAAATACCATCCATTTTACATATGAGTAAACTGAGCCCTTTGACGGTCAAGTAGCTTGCTAAAGTTACAGGCCAGAGTGTGGCACAGTCTGTTCCAAAGCCTATGCTCCAATTACTGTGTTAAAATAAATAAATGAACACATTTTTTAAAGTTAGTATTCTAAAAAGGTATTAAATAAACGCCAATGGGGCTTAAGTGAGAGTCTGCTAAGTTGAGGTACGTGCACAGAATTGCACTGAATGAGGAGCAAGGAAACCGGCACCTGATAAAGTTGCTTTCTGCAATATAGGTTATTCTAGAATTGTGTCCCCCACCCAAATTCATATGTTGAAATTCTAACCCCCAGTACCTTAGAATGTGACTTCATTTGGTGATAGAGTGTTTAATAGTGATTGTTAAGTTAAAATAAGGTCATTAGGGTGGGCCCTAATCCAATATGACTGATGTTCTTATTCGAAGAGGATATTTAAATATAGTCACATATAGAAGGAAGACAATGTGAAGACACGGGGAGAAGATGGCCATCTGCAAGCAGTCATAGCAAACTAATACAAGGGATTTAAAAAACTCTTTCACGTTCTCAGAGGTCTTCACCCTCTCCATTTACACAAAACAGTCTTATGATAATGGAGGAGGAAACTTACCATGTAACAAATCTAAAAATAAGTGTGCTATCTTTTGCAGTACTTGTACATTGTCCATCTAGGTGGAACTCCCATCAGAAAAAAAAAAAAAACTCACTTTGTTTTTTAACCTGGATTATCACTGTCTACATCACAAATTCCAGAAAATAACAAGCTCTGGGCAGCATCTACTCAAGACAGTAGCTGACATAACTTACTATAAATTTCCTAATGCTTATTTTCTCTTTGTGTTGTTTTTAGCACAAATATACAATAAATAAACAAAGCTAGGAAGCACTTAAATAAACAGGAAATCTGTGTTACAATGATAATTTTTACCATCTCAACAGTTGTATACAGAGAGTCAGATTTGGAGATTGTCCTGGACTTGAACCTTTGCCCATATCCAGGACAAAGCAAGTGAGCAGAGATCTTGCTATCTATCATGTAAGATATTAATTCTCAAATGCTTTGCAGCCTAACACTAAGATAAATTAAAGGAAATTAAATACTTATCCATCTGGGAATGTCACTTCAATCACAAGGAAACTGCTTGGAAGAAGAGCTTGGTTTGAAGCAAGATCAATGGTTAACTTCAAGTCACCTAAACATCTGAATACAGTCCCCACTTGAGAAGATGGTTGCGTGCAGTGCTACATGGCAGTTAGGTAAGAAATGCTAAAAGCACCTATACTTTGTAATGTTATTGTTAATAACCATAGGCTAAATGAAATCTAACTTATGACATCGTTTAATCTTCTCAACAACCTGAAGAGATAGGTATTTTTATTATCACTATTTCACAGGTGAGAAAACCAAGACTTAACGGGGTTATGTATATTATAGAAACTCACTTAATAGTAAGCAGCACAGCTATGATTTTAACCAAGGTCTTTCTGACTAGACCATGCCATTAACGATATACTGACCTCAAAGTCCCAAATGAGAACAATCCTTTTTTTAAAACTAAAATTATGTTTAAAATATTGAGAGCTCTAAAAGTCATGGAAAATCTATTTGTCTGGAACTTGGATATTTATCAAGTTAACCCTCATAAAAAGAAAACTTCACAATAATTTAGCAAAATAGCTTTTCAGAAGTTCTTAAATATATGTGAACCATGTGAAATAAAGGGGAAAGGGTATATATGGGAGGAAAATCAGGCCATGAAGTTACTTGAGATATTTTTCAAGAAAGAATTGCACCGGAGGTTACTGAATCATAGGCTTAATTTTTCAGCACAGAGGAAATTACCAAAGTCAAAGCTTTAAACATCTGGTTTGAAAGTGCACCACTTACTTCACTCTCTCTACCTCAGAAATTGCAGCACTTACCTCTCTCTGAAAAAAATTCCAAGCATGAGTAAGCCACCGATATCTAGGTAATCCATAATTTGTCATCCTGGCTTTCAAAGTGACCATATCTGACCACTGTACTGGAACCTGGTAATAAAAAGCAAAATATCAACAGCTATAACACACACACACAGACACAGATTCACACACACACACACACACACACACACACTCGGAATGACTTATAATTGACAAATACTATTTTAAATTTATATTTGCTTGTGGCCTAAATTTAGCTCAGAGTATTCAATGTAGTTTTTGGACAATCTCAGTGTGTAGATTTTTGTGATAAATGATTAGGTATTTTGTACTAACGAAAAAAATGAGAAATCACTTTAATGCTCAAGGAAATCACAAACAAGTAATTAACTGTACATTCTACAGACATACTGAAAATTTTCACATAACAAATAACCTCTGCAGAGAAATGCCCTTAATTTGACTTCAAAATGCTATGAAGTTTTTGCTCTTTTAAGCAACTGCAGATAATAGTACTAAAACAAAGGGGAAAGAATTAAAAAGGGAAAGACTTTGACTCAAGTTAAGCCTCACTCTGGGATAATTTTGTCAACACTTTTTCAAAAGTTGTAATTAGGAGGTATATTAGAATTTAAGAAAGAACAGTTCTCCACTTTTACACTGTTGGTGGGAATGTAAACTAGCACAGCCACTATGGAAAACAGGGTGGAGATTCCTTAAGGAATTAAAAGTAGACCTATCATTTGATCCAGCAATCCCATTCCTAGGTATCTACCCAGAGGAAAATAAGTCATTATACGAAAAAGATACTTGCAAACTCATGTTTATAGCAGCACAGTTTGCATTTGTAAAAATGTGGAAATAGCCCAAATGCCCATCAATCAATGAGTGGATAAAGAAAATATATATACCATGGAATACTATTCAGCCATAAAAAGGAGAAAAATAATGGCATTCACAGCAACCTGGATGGAATTGGAGACCAATATTCTAAGTGAAGTAACTCAGGAATGGAAAACTAAGCATCGTATGTTCTCACTCATATGTGGGAGCTAAGCTATAAGACACAAAGCCATAAGAATGACACAATGGACTTTGGGGACTCAGGAGGAAGGATGGGAGCGGGATGAGGGATAAAAGACTACACATTGAGTATAGTGTACACTGCTCAGGTGATGGATGCACGAAAATCTCAGAAATCACTGCTAAAGAACTTATTAATGTAAGCAAATACCACCTGTTACCCAAGAACCTATTGAAATAAAAAAATTAAAAATAATAAAAAAGAAAGAACAGTTCTTAAAGTATTTCTGTGCTTCTATTCTCCAATCACCTAGCACCATGTCTATTGCAGAGAATTTAATCATGACAGAGCTTTAGGTACACAATACCACAGTCATTGTTGTAATGCAATACAATACAACAGTCATTGCTGGCCAGAAATCTGGTCAGTATATCAAGCTATGATTTTACTCCAGGGCCATGAGAAATGGAGGTATACAAATGCTAATCTCATTACATACATAGTATTAAAGCAACTCTGGGAAACTGGACGGACATTCCCATCTGATCTATGAAGTAATATAGACTGGGCTTAGTAAAGCAAGCTTGACATTCAATAAATAACACAAAGATCAAGAACCAAAAAGGAAAAAAGGCAGACATGAGCAAATAAGGCTCCAACAGAACTAGAGATTAGGATTATTATAAAATCTTATTTTTTAAGATAATCATATCAATAGAAGCAGTTTCAAAATTCCTGACCACAGAAATTCTTCATTTTTTTCCTTTGTTAACTTTTTTTTTTTTGATTACTTGGAAATATACAATAAAACATCCAAACACTTGGCCACACATTTTTTTCCCCAAATAATGAGCAAAATGGGTGTACTCTGTGTTCACATATGCCTTCAACAAGGTTCAGGGAACTAGTCAAAGTTCAAACTACTCACCATAAATTAGTATTATCTCATAACCCTTTGGGCATAAAATAAATGGAAGTGAAGTAAATTATCTAGAAATGTACAATCTGAAACTATATCATTGATGGATTTTATCTAGAAAAGGAATAATGAATAGAAGGTGAATAGTATAAAAAAACAGAAATGAGAAAGCAGATTATCTGATGTCAAGTCACTTGATTTAGTTAATATATCAATTTTTTAAAACTTTACCTTCTAAAATAAATACAGGTTGTTTCCTTATTGTGACCACGAACAATCTGAGACCAAATGTGGAAGAAAACAGAAGAGACCATTGAGGTTCTGGCACAAATACTGAGGTCTGGCCATAAAGTAACACACAGGTTGATTGGTTCCTTGCATGGAACAGCTAAAAGCACAAAGCCCATTCTATGTAAAGGCTGGGTTCTGCAAAATTTGGCAGATAATAAACTTTAATGGTACTTTTCATTCACACTGCTATTAGTGCAAAAGCAATAAAAAACCTGACAAACTTTTTTTAAAGAACTGCTTTTACATTTCACTTTTAAACAGCCCTTGCTCCATTCTGGTGATGTAATGGGAAAGATTTGCAAAAGCAAAACAGTGATGCATGCCCTCAACTGGAATGGTAGTGGGCACCTATTTAGTACTGCAGTACTCAGGAGCTAATCGTAGATGGTCTCTTAGAAGAATAGAAGAAAGTATCTAGGCCGGGCGCGGTGGCTCAAGCCTGTAATCCCAGCACTTTGGGAGGCCGAGACGGGTGGATCACGAGGTCAGGAGATCGAGACCATCCTGGCTAACACGGTGAAACCCCGTCTCTACTAAAAAATACAAAAAACTAGCCGGACAAGGTGGCGGGCGCCTGAAGTCCCAGCTACTTGGGAGGCTGAGGCAGGAGAATGGCGTGAACCCGGGAGGCGGAGCTTGCAGTGAGCTGAGATCCGGCCACTGCACTCCAGCCTGGGCGACAGAGCGAGACTCCGTCTCAAAAAAAAAAAAAAAAAAAGAAGAAGAAAGTATCTAAATAAGTATACATTCATTTCAATTTCTTCGTATTTCTTAGAATTACTTTAAAATCAAAACATTTCATTTCAACCATCTTAAGCGAAATCATTTTGAACTTGCTGTATCTTGGAAGATTTACCAAATATTAGTATGGCATATACACTCTAATGCCCATGTTTAAAATCCGCAAGAAAGTAAACCAATTGCTAAAATCCTTTTAATTACCAAACAGAACACAATAAAAAGCTGAGGTAACAGGATCCAGAACTAATGATAAGATATACTCTCTATGGTTTAAATGTCAAGGAGACACATTTATCACTTGAAAACAGAAAAAAATAAGAGAGACAATCTTTTGACCAGTAAACCACAGAAACGGATTCTCTGGAGCCGAGTACTTTTTCAATGCCCTAATAAAATTTCCAGGGATGGGGAGAAAACATGATTTTCAAAGACAGCAAACAAGTTCCTATATAAACGGGAGAGTTCATGTTAATAAGTGCTCTGAACTTTTTATTAAACTAGTTAGAATCTGAGCTAACTTTTCACCTTTTCAGGAACTCTCTACTTGCTTAGTGCTGTTGAACACTGGAAGCATGAGTGTCTTCACAGAGAAACATATGTGTGAGTGTGCCAAAGCATCACTGACATGTAAATTGGAGTGTGTAGAGTAGCCACTGGTCTGTGGTTACTACTTAGTATTCAAAACAGTCTCAAAGCACAATGGTAGATTCACCAAAGAATCTTTGAAGAGTATATCAGCACCAGAAATGACTTATATTTTACTGTTCAATTGCGAAATGACTCTCTTCACTCTGAAACAAATACAATATAATCTCTGTCCCTTCTAGAGAGTCACTACATTTTAAAATGTTGAAGACGTCCTAGGGAACTTGTCACAGATGCAAATGCCCAGTCCTTGCCCTTTCCTCCCTGCCTTCCCCTCCATTCTGACTGAGCACATCTGGGCTGGAGCCCAATAATGCACACTTTTAAGAATCATCCTGGGTGGCTCCTACTGCAGATGGCCCAAGAGCTACACATGGAAAAACACCATTTTACTAAAACAGAATTACTCTACAAAGTTTATGGGGAAAAAGTCTGGCCTTCCTCGACGAAAACAAAGAGCATTCACAGACATGCAAAAGCGTTCGACATCACTAGCAATAAATGCAGTAATTTCCCTCAATGAAGTAAGCAAATGTTAATAAGTAATAATACCCAGTGAGTGCAAGGGTGAAGTGCAAGTGGTAACTAAAAACATGACTAGTAAAAATCTTAAGACTGAGAAATTTCATGCTCATTTATGCTAGCTATAAAAGTTGTCCCAGCCATTTCAACTGCTGAAATAAAAGAGAAAAAATGAAGAGCTATATTCAAGTAGCCAAGTGTGGAACTGTGAGAGTGCTTCTAGATTGTGCTAACCACACAGCAACTCTTCAAATACACCTCTTACTTAAGGTGGAAAATGGTTCTGCCTGTTGCAAACAGGAGATGTAGGCTTCCTAGTCATCTGTTCACTATTGCAGTCAGCATTTTAAAAGGCTTTATGTAGGTGTTCAAGAATTTTCAGACTAATCATTTGCGAATATGAATCTTTTCTATTATTAACTCCAAAATTGGTAAAATTATTTTAGAACATATACTATTTTTAGTCTATGATACCCATGTTTAAGCAGCCTGTGGAATTAAAGACATATACAGAGTATACCAAAGAAAATTTTACAAATTATGACTTGGAAATGTGCTTCAGACACAGAAAAGAAAGTGTTAGCTTTCAGAAGTATTGGGACTATTAACTGTTATCATGTAGCATAAACATTCAAATTAATAATCATGTGCCTAAATTACTCTAAAGTATTGATATGGTTAGGCTTTGTGTCCCCACCCAAATCTCATCTTGAATCGTAATTCCCCTATCCCCACATGTCAATGTCAAGAGACAGACTAGGTGGAGGTAATTGAATCATGGGGGCGGTTTCCCTCAAGCTGTTCTTTTGATAGTGGGTGAGTTCCCACGAGATCTGATGGTTTTATTAGGGGCTCTTCCCCCTTCGCTAAACACTTCTCCTTCCTCCCACCATGTGAAGAAAGTGCCTTGCTTCCTCTTCACCTTTTGCCATGATTGTAAGTTTCCTGAGGCTTCCTCAGCCATGCTGAACTGTTAGTTAACTAAAGCCTTTCCTTTATAAATTACCCGGTCTTGGGTAGTTCTTTCATAGCAGTGTAAAAATGAACTAATACAAGTATCTAATTTAAAAGGTTGAACTGTTGTTTTAGATTATGGTTATATCTATATTGAACTCACCATAAGTTCCTGTTCATATGTCCAAACGCCACAAGCCAGTTCTACGCAGAAAATGACAAGCAAACTTCCAAAGTACTGTAGAAAAACAGAAAAGTATGCTGTTATTATAGCACCAAAATAAAGTAGGCTCCTCAAAGACAAACTTGGTATTATGTTTACCTAGTGAACAAGAAAACAGAGGCGAGTTTTCATGACGCCCCTCAGAAGCAGATGGGGAAATTTTCAGCAAATTTAGAAATATCTGCAGATAACATTGAATATTCATCTCAGTGAGTCATAGTTTATTAGCCATCTCCTGAGAAAAATCTTTTATAAATGCCACTACTTTCATTAGGATAAATAAGAATTTACATGTTCTAGTCTGATAAACTTTAATCAAGTTCTCCAAGAAAGGGGACCTAAGTCCTTTCAAAGTGGACGGGGTGCAGTCAACAAGTTCAATGCTCTGCCCATGAGCAGAATTTAACTTACTCTTCTAGGCAATGGGGGTGGGACGTCTCCTTTGCATTCTTAGAAAAAGCACAACATAGAACAAAATCTCAACCAGTGTTGACACTTTATATAGTAAGTTTCTATTATGGGGAAGGCACTTGGGATACAAAAGAATATCAAAATTCTGATAAGGCACGCATAGGCAAAAAATAACACAAAGTTTAATACAATGTCAAAAACAGAAATGGAGATAAAAATTCAAGATTCCTATGAAATAGAGAAATATGCAGTGTTCCAAAAGGTGAAAAGGATTGGAACAAAGAAGAGAAGAGAGAATACCAGGTAAATAAAAGCCATGAACAAGTGTGCAGAGGCAGCTGCAAAGTCAAGCAAAGAATCAGGGAACAGGAAACAGATCCATCTAGCTAGAGTGGGGTGGTCAGAAAGAGGAATGAGAAGCGATCAAATGGGAAAGATGGACTGAAGCCAGATTATGGTGAACTTTAAATAATACACTAGTGAATTTTAAATCCATCATTCAGGCATTAAGGTAGCATCTTTCAAAGGTTCTGAATAGGGGAACGACATTATAAACTGATGAAATAAAGGCAAAGTTCTCAATGATTTGGAAAAAGGAAGTTTGCTAAGGGGGAGGGTGAAGATCCCTTAGAAGGTAGCACAAGAGGAGGCATGAAGTGAGCAGCTGAACTTAGATGGTAGCCTTGCAAATAGGCAGAAAAGAATCATTTTAAAAGGTATAGGAAAAGAAAATTGACAAGGCATTAGACTCATTGAATTTAGAATGGAAGACAATGATGTATTTCACCAAAGCAGAGAAATTGGGAGGGGTAAATAGCTCTGTGGGAAGATAAAAAATCTAATTTTATTTGATTAACATAAAAATGTTTATCTAACTATCAAAAATGTAGACTCGGCTGAGTGTGGCGGCTCAGGCCTGTAATCTCAACGTTTGGGTTTTGGGAGGCAGGAGAGTCGCTCGAGCCCAGGAATTTGAAACCAGCCTGGAAAATATAATGAGACCCCATATCTACAAAAAGAAAAAAAAGAAGAAACAAAGAAAATTATCCAGGCAGGGTGGTGTGTGTTTGTAATCCTAACACTTTGGGAAGCTGAGGTGGGAGGATTACTTGAGCCCAGGAGATTGAGGCTGTAGTGAGCTATGATCATGCCACAGCACTTCAGCCTGGGTGACAGAGAGAGAACCTGCCTCGAAAAAAAAAAAAAAAAGTGTAGATTTGAAGCCCACATAGCCAAGGATGGAATTGAAAACCATTATTATGATTAGAAAAAAACAACAACTTTTGGATAGTGCTCTGTTTATCAAGTACTTTCACAATTAATTCACTCAAGAATCCTGTGAAATAGATAAGGCTACCTCATTTTACAAACAAGAAAATTAAACAGCAGATAATGGGACTTCCACAAGAATGGGCATAATGAATTTGGGAGCACTGGATCACTGTAGCTGTGTTCCTGTGTCACACCTTGCCCAGTTGTGGTGGTAATTTTACAGAGGCAAGCCGCAAGTATACGAGAAAGAACAAGCTCTCTGAAAATCATCCTCACTAATTTCAGCAGGAATAAAACTTCATTGCAATTATGAATATTCCATTCTATTTACAGTGGGAGGTCAGGGTGGGAGTACCAGGTAGTGACGATTTGTGAATATCCTCCTTCACTGGACTGAAAGCTCTACTAAGGGCAGGTACTTTCTTGCATTCCTCATCACATAATAGGTGTTCAATGAGTATTTGTTAAGTAGAAGAATAAATGCAAACAAAGCAGAGTGGTATGATAGTGAGTAGGACTGGGAGCTACCTTGGACTGGGTGATCAGGGAAGGTCTTTTTATAAAGGGGATCTTTAAAATGAGTCAGTACAGACAAGAAAGAAGCAATGCTGTTAAGACTTCAGAAAAAAAGCAATCCAGGAAGAGGAAATACCAAGTGTGATGTGGCCTTGCATGGTGGGCTAGCTGGTTAAAAACTCAATGGTAACTGGCACACAGAAAGAGTGGGATGGGATACAGGGTATGCAAGTAGATGTTATGAGGTGCAAAGAAAACAGATCATTATGAGCCATGGAAAGGATTTTGGATTTTATTCTATGGGTAATTCAAACCCATTAGCAGGTGGCATGATCTAATGTACATTATAAAAACATAATTCTAGCAATTTTGTGAAAAAATGACCTGTAGAAAAGCAAGGTGTGATGAATCAAATAAAAGATTGCAGAAGTAGAATGAAGGAAAGAAGATGGAAAAAGTGGACTGAATTAGGATTGTGAGCCATCAGGATTCAAACTTAAAGTTTCTTTATTTATAATATTTGCTAATAAAAGGGGGAGTGGAGTATAAGATACAGAAAACGGGGCTGATTTTCTACTACCGTAACACATCTCCTATGATTTAAAAATATAAATCATTGCTATTGTTTTAGTATGGTTCCCTCCTACTTCTTTCAAATGAAAAATAAAGAATACATAACTGCATAATCTCTCAGACAATAACACAGCTTCAAAATAACTGTTGGTTCAAAGGATAAAGTAGTACTTTGTTAAGGGGATCTCATTTTGCAAGCTACTTTTATTTTTGGCATACATAGTATTCATGGTCAGCTTTAATATACTCAGATATCATTTCAAAGTACTGTTATTTCTAGGCCTTACTTTAAAGATTTCAGCCGTAAAAGTATGATTAGAAGAAATGTTGTGAGCATAGTACTTCAAGCCAATTTTTCTCCAAACTTTCTTTAATGCTTTACTGAAGAGATTTCTAGACATAAAAAATATTATATTTGCATCTTATGTTACAAAGAGACCAAATGTTCAGTAACTACATACTAGATCACTTTTCTAATCTTTGATAAGAAAAGACCCTTAGAGACAGTGAGACTCCAGAGAAAAATTAAACTATGAGACATTTTTTGCGTCTCAGATTCTTAACCTAAATTTGTTTCATATTTGACGTCTGGCTACAATGAAAACCAAAGCATCCCTGAAAAGGCAAGATATGTTTATCAATAAAACACGGACATGGATGATGATTATTATTTAAAAAATAGGAAATTCCCAGACTTTGCCTTGAGGATAACCACGTAAATTTCTAGACAGGTTTTATAACCTTTTAAATCCTACTTGAATATTCTCTCATTTTCTGCCTCTTGGAGTCATTAATCAGTTCGCAAATGTAGCCCATGATTGGTACGGAGGGGATAAGTTTCCTATGAGCTGGATGCTCTTAACTCTGGGAAAGCTCTAAAATGATTGTATCTTTCAGATTTCCAGTGGGTTCATATGATGCCAGTTCTCTCATACAAAATAATTTTTTTTCTTTATTCCACTAACACTCAGGAACGCTGATTTGTTTGACTTTGAGGTTGAAAAGACAAGTTCCATCAACATTATAACACTTTCTTGGAATAAATTAAATTTAAAATTTGATTCAAATAAAATATTTTTACAAATGATGTTGCAGCTTCACGGTCAGCTGTCTTTTCTTCGTTGTTATTGCTGTAGCCTGAAACATCCAGTGTTCCAATTCCAAGGAAAACATTAAATGTCAAATTCATCCTTAATACAGGATAAATACACCATCTGCATCTACCCCTAAATTTTCTTTTGTGGCGAGATCTCAGTCCTTGATAAAGTCATTCTCATACTGATTATTGCACTGAGAATCACTCAGCTGTTATTTAGTTTAAGAGCTAGATTTGAAGCATCTATAAAGCATGATGCTAATCCTTAATTTAATAACAAAATTAGCCCAGAATTAAACACCGCTCCTGCTGAGTTGTGTTATGGTATGAAGTGTACATCCATATCAATTTCACCACACAGACACCTGTTATCTTCAACATTACTGGGAACATGTACGTCTCTCCCCTGATGGTGGCAGCAAGTGTTTCTCGTGTTTCTTGCTTTCCCAATGCATATGGTTTAACGAGATGGTATGTACCAGTCTAGTTTGCAGAGCAACTCACCCTATCTTCTCCTAGTGGGTTTTCTTTCTAGAACGATGAAAAGTGCTCTGACTTTGGAGTTAGATTTAAGTTCAAAACCAGCTCTGAAACATATTGTGTGATCTTTAGCAAACCATTTAACTATCTTTGTGTCAGTTTGCTTATCTGCCTGATAAAGATAAAAAAGAACCCCCTTTTATAGTTTCCATCAAGGTTGATTTGATATATGTGAAAATGCTTTGGAAAATGGAAAGCATTGTAAAAAATGCTATTCTGTACTAGTCTGTGAAACAACATCCATAATGACTTGTCCTCTCTTTCCATACGTAGCCTTCATTCTCTGCAGTGTGCCGCAGTGTCTGCCTCATCACTGTTTTCCAGTATTTTACCTCCGATTCTTTATTTTATTACTTTTCTCCCTCCCTCTGTGTGTCGGGGTTTCCTTGTCTGCTGTATTTCAGGTCTCAGAGACTTTGGCTTGTAAACCACTTGGCTGCCCTACTCATAAGTCACAGTGCTCCCTCCACTGCCAGATCATCAGTTCTGGCTGGCAAGGATCTTGTTCTTAAACATTATTTTATCCCCATTGTCCAAGCAGCACCTGTCACACAGCAGGTACTGGGTGGAATGTCAGTGGAAATAATGACCAGTTTACCGACTAAGA